AAAGAATATGTGAACTGAAAAAAAAGGCAAATTCTGACGTACAGTCACATCATGAATTAATCTTGCTGTTGAAGAGAAGTAAGCTACTCTAGAAAGACATCCTGATTTTAATTCTTCGAGGTGTCTAGACTAGCTACCCTCATGGAGACACCAAAGGCAGTGCTTACCAGTTCTGCCAGGTGATAAAGGTCTAGAGATCGATCACCTAACGATGTGAATATACTTAATGCCACTGAACTGTGCCTTGAAAAATGACTGAAATGGTGTATTGTGTTTCATTTTTTAGCTACAATTAAAAATTTTCAATCAATAATCCTAAAACTAACCATTAAGGTCAATGTTTTAACATAAATTTAAATTAGTCTGAACAATATTTTTTGAAAAGTCATCCAGAGCTTCGAGTGGGAATGACACATGGTCTAGGTCAACTGTATGGGTGTGCTATCAACAGCTGAGTAAATGAATGATACTCAAAGCCTTCAAAATAATAGTTATCAGGTTCCACTGGAAGCTTCTTCTTGGCTTGAAGGATACAAGAAGAAAATTCCAAAGAACCTTCTGAGAGAAGAATTGACAGGTTTTGGTTCATTTTTGGCATCAGCAAAATTCCAGGAACTTCATTCATCCCTATAGTGTTTGTGGGAATTGTAAGTCCTGTGATATGCTACCTGCTTTTGAAAAAAGAGTTTGTAAGACCCTAATATGTACAGTATTTAAATGGGACTAAGAGTGAAAAAGCAGTCAGGTGTTTGGCTGAAACTAATTTTCTACTGCTGATGCAAACTCCTTTTTTGGCAGTAGTGTCCCATGGACAGTTTTGCCCTTTTTCCCTTTTCTTCTTTTCTCTCTCTCTCTCTCTCTCTCTCTCTCTCTCTCTCTCTTTCTTTCTCTTGTCTCTCTTTTTTTTCTTTGTGGAATCAGGATGGAACTCAGGTACTTGCACTTGCCAGGGAAGTGCTTATTCTACTGGGCCATCTCTCTGGCCCCAAAGTTCAGAAGGATTTCTTCTTCTTCTTATTTTTTTTTTTTTTTTTTGCCAGCTCAGGATGCCTTAAGGGCAGGTCTGGTGAGGCATGAGGATCTGGGGATCGAACCACAGAATCCTGAGCCTGACTGCTTTGCTTAAGCAGGCACTTGAACAACTGAGCTAATGGGTAGGAACTCCCCCTTTTCTCCTTTTCCTTGGTCTTTCTCAGCCATCAAACTCACAGAGTGGTAAAGGGGCCACTTGCTTATTGTTTGTTTCTAAGGCTCTATTCATCTTAATAGCTAGAATCCTGACTACAAAAAATTAAACTTTTACCTCATCCTTTCATCCTTACCTACTGTGATTCTACTTGATGATTCTTCAAAAACTGAACACTTTTATCCAAGGGGCAATTTGAGAGTGAAAGCGTCTTGCTGGAGTATTGATTCGTCAGGAGGGTGCTTACTGAGAACTTATTTCCAGCCTTCTTCCAAAGGGAATCTTGTAGGGTCAGCAAAGGCCATTCCAAAAGCATTTTCTCACACTAATTGTATATTTTCTTTGCATGTTTTGGGGCGTAGTATTGAAGAAATAGTACTTAAAAATTTTATAAACGTACTTACAAAAGTGTGCTTTTATGAGTGTGCTTATAAAACTCTTGTTTTAGCTTACTGTTTCTTTCCTCTTCCCTGGATTCTGCTTTTGGCTTAGTCTTTATTTTTTATTTTGCTGTCTAGAAGACTTCTGGGGATGAGCTCAGTGATTTTCTTGTGTGGGTGATCAGTAGTGCCAAACTTGCATGACTGTGTTTTGGTAACAGTACTGATAAAGCCAGCTGGCCTGGCACCACTGCCAATGACCTGTGTCTGTCGCTCAGGTATCCCTGCTATTAGAAAGATAAAGGGCCAGCTAGACTGACTCCAGGGACCGCGAAGATGGGCATAACATTTATGGTGCCATCTCAATTAATTCCTTCATTAGAGGTACGATTCCTCACCAGACTGGAGACATTACTCTGATAGCCAGGTTAGATGGCTTCAGGGATGGGTGTGAGACATAGGCAAGAGGGGAAAGATAAGAGTTTACATAATTAAACCAAGGCATATTGTTTTTAGACAATAATTATTCAAACTAGACTTTATTAATCTTATAATTAGAAGTAGGTTACTGAAATACTAAAAGAAAACAAAAGTTTTGCAGACAGTTTGTCTCGAAGGGTTTCTCTTTTTCCTGGGGTTATGTGTGGTGCGGATAGACTACCTGCCTTTATCCCTCATCTGCCCTTCTGCCCCACAGGCCAGGTATCTCTGTGCTCCTCTGCACACTGGAGGGCTCCTGAGCCCAAGTTGGTTTTTCTTTAAATAGGAAGCAGCTGTTCATTTCCTAGGAACTTTATTGATTCTCAGGTAAATGTAGAGAAAGCCAATACTAACTGAGCATATTAAAAATATATTTTTTTCAAGGCATTTTGTAAGCTACTTTTACTATAGGACTAAATTGTAATTTCTCTTTGAACACCATTGATGTGTGCTTGACATTAGGAATAGTGCCAAAAGAATATCTTCCAATATTTGGATCAAGATATTGTTGTAGGTTGGATGGCAGGCCCCAAAAAGACATGGCTGTGTCCTGAAACTGGTAAATGTAATTTTATTTTGAAGAAAGGGTGTTAGCTATAATTAAGGATTTTTTTTATAGGAGCATCTCATATTACCTAGATCAGCACTAAACATCACAAGGACACTCTCTTTAGAAAGGAGACACAGAGGAGAAGGCCATAGGAAGACCGAGGCAGAGACTGGAGTTATGTAGCCACCAGAAAGGAATGTCTGAGGCCACCAGAAGCAGCAAGAGGCAAGGAAGACTTCTCCTTGAGCCTTTGAAGGGAGCAGCCTTGCCAATACCTTGACTTTAGACTCTTACCTCCAGGACTATCAAAGAATACATTTATGTGGTATGAACCACAAAATCAGTGGCAGTTTGCTCCAGGTGCCTATTGGTTTCTTAAAATCAATATGGGAGTCTTGTAACATGGGACTACAGCAGAGAACACCATGGCATGGTGGTGTGGTGGACCAGGGATGAATTTTTAATTTAACACCACCCCTATTTTAAAGAGGAAGAAGGCGAAGCTTAAGGGGTCCTGTTGACTATGTGGAGTCTGGGAGACAGTCCCGCTGAGAGACAGTGCTGGAGTGGTCACATACTCAGGCTCCAGATCCTGTCTGGAGTTTACCCCACCTCTACGCCAATTAACTATGTGACTTTTGAAAAGTTATAACCACTTTTATGCTCAATTTCCTCAAATGGGAAACAGTGGTGCTAACTGAACTTCATTCCTATGCCTGCTAAGAAGATTAAAATTTGTAAAGCATTTAGAATGCATATGAAAAGCTAAGTGAATGTTATCTGCTCTGATAACTACTGTACTACACTAATATGTGATTGCCAAATTGTGGAGAACCAGAGAACAAATATAACAGAACGGGATCATGTTTAAGGCAGGAGGCATGGTCTTTATCAGTTACTGGCTTTAGAAGTGTTGTTCTACAGAATGCTCAGCTCTAGTGTGACTGCCATAAAGGAGACACAAGCTTTAGCAACCTGGAGAGCTGGTCTTTGCTGGGTCAGAACGATACCGAGCAGTTCAAATGTGTTACCTCAATTCAAGGACAAAGTAACCCAGGCTCAGTAAGTTGTGCACCTTGCTTATTTTCAGAATCCAAGTTGGAAACCTGGGTGTGGTGACTTATGTCTATAATCTTAATACTTAGGAGGCTGAGGCAGGAGGATCACTAAGAGTTCAGGGCCAGCCTGCACTGCATAGTAAGACTCTGTCTCAAAAAGAAAAACAAGAAACAAAAACCAAAACCCAAAAACAAAAACAAGCAAAAGCCAACTTGGAAATAACAGGGATTCAGTATATGATGCTCTTACTCCAAAAGGTTCTTTCTGTCACACCCCACTGCTTCCTAGAACCAATTATACAAATGCAAAGCAAACAAAAAGTGTTTTTTGAATTAGTAAAATTAAGCCTTATTACCAAGGACTTTAAAGCAAAATTGGAGTTTTCCAGAATATTTTGAAATGAAGAAGTTATTTCTAGCCATTTCAGAGCCATAGATCTCTTGAAACATTGCAGTAATGAGGGAAAGGTTAGGAAACACCCATTTGCAACATGAACCTATTCTCCTTTGTCCACCCCATCATCCTTTCTTGCCCTGGCTGGTTGGTCTCTGTTACTAGAGATGTAAGAGTGGACAGACCACAAATAACAGTGTCGGATGCTATTGATTCTTCTTTCTTTTTTTTTCCCCTTAAGAATAATAATGAGAACAACAAGAAAACATGAATGTCCTACTGTGAACACAGATGAGTCTCGCTTTCATTATGAATATTTGTGAAGGACAGCGTTTTCCATTCAGTGTACTTCTCTTACTTTGTCCCACTCAGTTAATGAAATGCTTGTTAAGACTCACTCCTCTCTAGTACCAAGGCCTTCCAGGATAAGATGCCATCCATTTAAATAAAAGATGAAGAAAGTCTAAATAGAAGCAGTCTTGACCAAAAGACCCATGAATAAGGCAGTAGCTGGCACTATGCAATTCTGACCTTGGCACCTTGGCTGGCTTCTTCTAGGCCAAGGCACTGTTAACTGGAGGCTTAGGACTTACATAAGGGAAAGGTGGCAATTTAAGAACATTTTGCTGAGGTGAAAGCTTTCCTACACACTTTTCAAAGAAGCTTGCCCTACCTGTAAGCTAAGATCCGCTGTTTTGACTGTTCTATCTCTGGCTTCCCTTCAGCCCAGGTTCCTTTAGAACTTTGTATTCTCAGATACTAAAGCTTATTAGCACATTTTATTCATTTATATTATCTTAAATGCCAACATAGTGTCCAGTATATTATGAATACTTGTTGATTGCTTAACAAGACAGAATTAGAAGCTTCACCTTGTTAATAATGCCGTCTTGTAGTCAAAAGGTCAGATTTCTAAAAAACGAGACTCCAGGACATAATCAGAGCAATTTACCTTGCTGGGAGCGTCCAGGTCTGATCTTCTGCTTCACTTGTCCTCAAATGATCTTGTAAGGGTCAACTCTCCTCTCTGGGTTACTTATTGCTTCATCTGTGAAACAAGAATTTGAATTAAATAAACCTCAAAGTGTCTCCAAACATTAAAACATTTTGTTTCATGTAAAATGTCATTAAACCATTTGGATGAATAATCACTCACAAGTTATTTTTAGAGCAGGTCACGGTGTAGGGATGCACTACTGGCTAGTGACTCCTGTACCCTGAGGGTTCCAGGTGCTGCAGGTGCCAGGGTGGAGAGGACACTGTGGTGGGACAAGGAGACAGGGTTATGAACCCTACCTCATTTGCCAGAGAAGCCCATTCTTAATCTGCTTCAGATTTTGGGGTTGATTTAGAGTGCAGAAAATATGTCTTGATTTTATTTGATTTTTTAAACAAAGGAAAGTGGTTTAATTTGGATCATGGTTCTGGATGCTGGAAGGGCCAAAATCAGGCACCACCATCTGACAGGGACTACATGCTGTCCTGCCTCATGGTAGAAAAGCAGAAGAGAGAGAGAGAGAGAGTACATGTAAGAATGAGGAGGGATGCCACACTTGGGATGCCTAGCTTATAATAATGGCTGTCTGTCTGTTTGCCTTCCTGTCTGTCTGTCTATCTATCTATCTATCTATCTATCTATCTATCTATCTTTTTATTTATCAGTTATCAGTTGTGTTGATCGATTTTGATCATTTCATCCCCCACTCTGCACTTTCCCTCATTCTCCTGATTCCTTTCCTCATTTCCAAAATATCTACCTATTTCCTAGCATCTCTCTCTCTCTCTCTGCGATTCTGGGGATTGAACATCTCTCTTTTATTTTACTCTGTAACTATTGGTATTTTGGATTTCTCATATAGGAGAAACCATACGATATTTAGCCTCTGTGTCTCATTTATTTCACTTAATATTATGGCAGTAAGAGCCATCCACTTTCCTACAAGTGACCCAGTTGATCTTTCTTTGTGGCTGAGTAATAATTCAGTGCATACCTATACCACATTTTTCTTCATTCAGCTGCTGAATGACACCTAAGACATTCCCATACTTTAGCTATTGAGAATTACCATGGTACTTTGGTCCACTCCATTTTTTCCACAATTTTTGTATTTGTGCAGGGAAGATGGCTGTGGTCATTTGTCACCTGAAGTAAAGTTTGCAAACACAAAGTTTTGTCAAACCCCTTTGTTTCTAGCCAAATTGTTCATTAACAGGAGCATTCATGAGCCAAGGTGCCGTATGCTGCCATAAACAGGGGTATGCACGCATCCCGGCAATGGGATGGTACCTTGAACTCTTTTGGGATGATACTCAACAAAGATATAGCTGAGCCAAATGGAATTTCTATTCTTAGTTTTTCATAGAAGTTATATTAGTTTACAATTCCACCAACAGGGTAGAAGAGTTCAATTTTCCTCACCTCCTTGCCAGCATTTTGTGTTTTGTCTTTAGTGATAGCCATGCTTGTTGGAGTAAGATGGGATCTCAGCATCCCTTTGATTTTAATTAGTTTCTCTTGGTATCATGGGATGAAGAAAGGAAAAAGAGAGTTGGCAAGTGTTTTTAAAGTCTGTTTGGGGACTGAGGAGGTTATAGCTCCCTGGTAGAATGTGTGCTTAGCATGAGCAGGGCTTTGGGTTTGATCGCCATCAACAAAAAATAAATAAATAAAATAATGGTAATGAATAAAATCTTGCCTTCCACTGGAAATAGTGACATGTCCACAGGCTTGTTTCCTGCCTTGTCATTTACTAGCTGTGTCATATCAGAGGTGTCTTATAGGCTTTGTTAAGTTCTGTTTCCCTCACATGTGGAATAATGAAGGTATGTCATGCATAGTGGAGTTGACAAAAATATTTGTGAAAATGTTTTATAGTTGGTGAAGTATTATAAAAGTCATCAGTGAGTCTCCAAAAGTGAGGCTGGGGCTTTGGATTCTGACCTGAGCAGGGTGGCCTTTGAGTCTCTTGACTGGAGGCATGGAAAATATGGAGGCTCAGGTTTGCAGAAGGCTGCAGGTTACAGGAATGGGCATCCGAGACAGCAGACTATGCTCAAGAAGGCCTAAGGACAAAACTTTGAGGAAAGAAAAGATCTTGTACCTTAGCTCAAAAGCTAGCTACCCAGGACTAAGGTGAGGGAAAACTGTTTATATAGCAGCTCAAGGAAGTTTTTCTTGACTTTGAGTCAAGAAACCTCAAGTCAAGGGGCCGGGTAGATAGCTCAGTAGAAAAAGTGCTTGCCTGACAAGCACAAGGGCCCTGAGTTCAATCCCCAGTTCTGCCAAAAAAAAAAAAAAAAGAAACTTCAAGTCAAGAACTGATTATAGCAGTTCAAGGAAGTTTTCTTGACTTTTAAGTTCCATGTAAGCCAGCAGTATTGTGATATGATTGACCAATAAATGATTCAATGTTTTTAAAGATTTATAGATTTATAGTGTGACAGCTGAGAAAAGGGGCATATGCTCTTGTCCTTTATAACCATTTTTTAGCTGCTGGAAATAGTCATTCCAGCCAGCCAGCAGAGCATACCCATAGGTAAGAAATGTGTCACAGATGTCTTAAATTATTTTAACATCTTTCTCCTCCTTTTTTTCCTTTAGTCTTGAGGATTAGAATCCACAGCCTTAGCCTCAAGTTATGTCTTCTACACTTTTTTGAGACAGAGTCTCTCAAGGTTGTAAGGCAAGACTTGAACTTGTTCTTCTTCTGCTTCAGTCTTTATGTGTGGGGACCACAGATATGTGCCATGTGCCTGGCTTTTCCAAATATTCTTACAATGATATTTTGGGTTGTCATGGAGAAAGTTCAAAACTGGTTTGTTGTATTCAAAGGCAAGCATCAGAAAACAATGCTGCTCAGGCTGCAATGTTTAGCTTTTATTAACTCTTATTTGTACTGTCTCAAGTACCTTACTATGTTTAATGGCACCCTTGCCAAGATATTTAGCATGTAAAAAGCAGCATTTGAGTCTTGTTATAATCAACTTCATACTGAAGTTGAGACTTACAAACAAGTTGAGTGGCAGACCTGGTATGTTGTATCTTGTTAATGTAACGTTATTGTCAGAATCTTAGTAAATATAATGTTTTAAAAGTTTATTATCTTTGTATACTCATAACAAATTTTGACAAGTTAAATTTAAGTGTAAATTATAAAAAATAAAACATTATAACTCTTAACAAAAGAAAACAATGTAAACAATAAAAGTTACTGAAAGGGAAATGGGGGATGGGGCAACTCAGTCGTGGAGTGCATGCCTAGCACGGGAGGCCCTGGGTTCCATATCCAAGACAAAAGATATTAATAAATAAAGTTAATAAATAAAGTTTTGTGACATTGAAAAGTTCATTAGAAAAATAGCACAGAGACAACACCACACCCTCTGCAGGTTGTTATGAAATAGGAGGAAGAGTTTAAGAAGAGATCACTCAAATTTTACCATCTCAAAGAATCTACTTTAATTATAGAATTAAATATAGCATGAGAGAATAATTTGCTTTGTTAGGAACTTGTTCATAGTGAAAGAATGTGGATTTTGAAATTGGTAAACTAAAACTTGCTATTGCATGATATTCAGGGTGTTGTTTTGTCTCTGTATATCAAATTACACCACCAGTAATATGGGGATGATTATTTCTGCACTGCTGCAAAGACTAAGCCATGGTTTCTCCCCCTGTGGTGCTGCTGGGCCTGCAGGTCTGTGTAGGGCCGTGGACGGAGGTCTATATTACACAGGATGGGTTTTGTTAAGGTTGTCAAGAATAAGACCTATTTTAAGAGATAACAAGTGAAGTTTAGAAGATGGGGAGAGGGCAAAACTGATTACTATGCTAGGAAATACTTGCTAGTACAGGACAAAAATAAGTACCACATTGGGGCTGGGGAGATGGCTCAATGGAATAAGTGCTTCCTTGGCAAGCGCAAGGGCCTGAGTTCAATCCCTGGTTCTGCCAAAATAAAAAGTACCACACACCTAAATACAGGATGACAGTTCATGTAACTAACAGAGATATCATTTGTCAGACTGCTTATGCCCGCGTTGAAGGGGATATGAAAGATAGTCTGTGCAGTGTATTGTACTGGTCTGCTGCGGGCCCGCAGGCTTCTCAATAGGTTTGGCATGGATAAGATCTATAAGGCCAGGTGGAGCTGACTGGAGATGAAAACAACGTGGAAAGCATTGATGGCAGACCTGGTGCCTTTACCTGTTATTTGTATGCAGGCCTCGCCAGAACTACAGCTTTTGGAGCCCTAAAGGGTGCTGTGGATGACAGCTTGTTTGTCCCTCATGGTATCAGATGATTCCCTGGTTAGGATTCTGAAAGCAAGGAGTTCAGTGCAGAAGTACATCGGAAGCACATCATGGGTCAAAATGTCGCAGACTATACGCGCTACCTAATGGAAGAAAATGAAGATGCTCACAAGAAACAGTTCTCTCAGTACATAAAGAACATTGTAACCCCAGACATGATGGAGGAGATGTATAAGAAAGCTCATGCTGCTATATGAGAGAATCCGGTCTAAGAAAAGAAGCCGAAGAGAGAAGTTAAAAAGAAGAGGTGGAACCGTCCCAAAATGTCCCTTGCCCAGAAGAAAGATCGGGTAGCTCAAAAGAAGGCAAGCTTCCTCAGAGCTCAGCAGTGGGCTGCTGAGACTTAAACCAAATTTTTATGAAGATTTTTCAGATAAAGACCAATAAACTTATTCATCAAGCAAAAAAAAAAAAAAAAAAAAAAAAAAAAAAAAAAGACTGAGCCACAAAACACTGGCAAAGAATGCTTAATCATGTCATGTATCAAATAGAGTAACTTTATTGCAATAATTTCTTGCTTTTCCTATTTTCTACGTGTCTTTTGTTTTCTCTTATCTAAGAGATCTCTTTTTGATAATTCCATTGACTGCTTCAAGAGACCAATAGATGGTGTGAGTGGACACGAGGTGATTTTTGTGAGTCTAGGAGGAAGGACACACCTGAAGGACATGAATCGTCACAGCAGAGTGGTATCATGTTTCCTGTCTGCATCACTTGTGTTTCCTCCTCATGAAGAAACCTATGGAACAATTTTTGTACTAAATTATAACCTCATTTTCCTGCCCATCAAAATCAGAACAGGGCCAACTTGATTTATTTTTTCTTTATAATTTTATATAATAAAACACATTAAAATTTTAAGGCCCAAGATCTTTGTGGAGTAGATATGGCATCTGCAGCCTAGAGGAGTGAGAAAGGTTGACAACTAGAACATTGGAGTCCACGG